CACAAATTTCAGCTTCAGAAACCAATTGGTCAACAAAAGTGATCGTCGCAAGAAAACAATCCCCAAAGACTGCTCGAAATTCCAATAGCCGTTATCAAAATCTTACTCTCATGGATTTAGAGGTACAAATATAACTCTTGTTTCAATAAATTCTTACCTATCATTATACCTGTATACTTTCTAAATGTTCTCATCTTTTTCTTTTTTTTGAACAGGGAAATAAAATCATAGCAACAATGTATGATGCCAATATCACTGCACTAAACGATCAGTTCGAATTTGAAAAAACATACATTGTGTCAAATGCAATACTTAAAGATTTCAAAAGTGAATTATAGAGTTCTCCTGAACAAAAAATGTGGAATATAACAGGAAGAACAAAGGTTAAAGAATTAAATGAAGACAATTTGAATCTTCGCGTTTGATCAACTAGAGAGGCATATGGACAAAAATACAGACATAAGTAAGATTTCTACTGCATTACATTTAAACAAATCATTTCATATAACATTTCATAATTTATTTTTTACGTACAAATTTATTGCATGCAAAATGACATATAAAATATTTCATAATTAATTTTTACGTTCAAAGTTATTGCATGCAAAATAACATATAAAACAATTTACGTAACCTTGTAGGCGTGATGGGTGTCGCTATAGGTGTTCGACAAAAACGCCTTATTCAAACTAACTTTGGTATAGAAGCTTATCTACAAGATGTAGTCTTGATAGATAAAGAATTCAAAATTGTTATACTAACAGTATGGAATACCTCTTTCGAAAGAGAATGCACTTCAATAATTGAACATCTTCCAAATAGACCCGTGATATGGGCTACAAATCTCAAAATTTCTTCGTTCAACGGTAAATTTCTCTTGCAAATACAGTTCCATCTATAATATATTTTTTTTTCATGTAAGATATTCCTAATTTCTTTTGTATAGACATCACACTTTCGACCAAAGTAAATAACAGTTTTTTCATTAATGTCCAACTACATGCTGTTGCGGAGTACAAAAAATGGTAATACAACATACCTAATACACATATTGCTTATATACGTACCTTTAATACAAAAAAATAAAAACAAAGGTTCTATTTTATAACTAAATATATCGTTATTTCTTGTAGGGTGGAAGCTAACAAGGAAGCGCTTCACAAACTAACGAAAAATACACATTTTATTGTTGTCAGCCCACCCAAACTTTCTCCTCCTACTGATAATGAATTGACACCGATTGAAGTTTTATTAGGGGTGTATCTAACGGTATTTTTATACTGATATAAACTGAATATAATTAATAGAAATACATTATCTTTAATTTCACAATAAATATTATAGTAACATCGCGTATTTTTCTCAGTCGTATCCTTTTATCTAATTATATGACACATCTCCTTTAACAGAAGAAATTCTATTGGGTGAATGCACGCTGGAAAATAGTTTCAAAAGACCAATAATTTTGGTATATGTCTTGTAACAACTGCAAGAAAACTTCCAACGCGAACTTTGAAAAAATTCATAAATGTCGATTTTGCAAGTACGAACACTCAAAAACTATCTCAAGGTAATTTTTCTATTAAATATAAGTTCAAAAATTTACTAATTATTATTTCAGGAACAAGGTACATAATACATAACAAAAAAAAAAAAAACACATTCTTTAGGGTAAATGCTTTTGTACAACTTGAAGACAAATTTGGTTCGTTAGATGCAACCATCATAGGAGATGTAGTAGAATTGTTACTGAAAAGTAGCGTCAATGACTTAATGAACCATCTTCAGAAGGTAAAACATCATGTTCAACATCCTTTAAAAATGCTTTCTCTCTTAACAACAAACATGCCACTCTATTGAAATATATTTCGTCGACCACAGGAAGGTATTAAAGAACTCAATGACGTTGTCAAATTGGAAAGCGATACAGAGCTACTCTTTTACCTCAAGGCAACAGAAAAGTGCCACGACCCACCGGAGTACCGCTTTGAAATCATATTCATGTTAAACTCCTCCACGGCAAATCAAGTTGATTCCTCAATTGTTACAGAAGATGCAAACAAGCAAATTGAAATGGAAAAAAATTCCAACAACAAAGACGTAAAAGGCAAGAACAAGGTGTCCGGACGACCCGATGACAGTTCCACTGCTACTGAAGAAATCAATTCACCACACGCAAAAATGTCTCTCTTCTAACCATCAAATGTACCTATTGAAGCAGAGTCAAATCCCCAAAAAAGGACTCACACAGGCTCCAAAATCGATGACCAAACCATTGGGATCACCTCAAAAGAAAAACATGAATGAATAACATCTATGATACTTTTGCGACTACTTTTGTGACAGTAGACAGTAATCAATGTTCCATTTTGTATTTCTAGAAAAAGTAACATGATCTGTCAATATCTTTGTCTATGTAAAAGACTTCAGATTCCACCAAATAACAATAAATTACTACTCTTGAAATTTAAAGTTTGTTGTACGCGTCTTACTTTCCTTTTTCTCCTTTCCCTTACAAAAACAGTGAAATATTACTATATTAAATCATTCCATTTCAAAATTAATATCATAGTTTACATCCAATGATTCTATTTTTAACTAATGAATTCACTTTTTTTTTTAAACAGTAAACTGATATCAACATTAAAAATTAAACAATTTTCAACATTAAAAACGCTAATATAATATTCAACAAAATCTGCTCGTGCATTGCACGGGCAATAGACTAGTTTATCTAAAATTTTGAAAATGGTAATTATTTGCAAATTCAAAAATAAAAGACAAGATTCTCTAAGTGTGTCCTAAAGCAATATTATAAGTTAAGCTCCAGTTTGTTTTCCATTCTTTCTTCATTAAAATGAAAAATATGACCGTTATCCATCACATCAACCCACCAAATTTGAATTTCTATCTCTTGTGTGGGACCCATAACGGTTATATTTTTCATTTTCATTTTTATGAAAATGGAAAATAAACGGGGCCTAAGTTTGAAAAATTCTTCTTTGTTGTTAACTTGAGGTTATTTTATTATTATTATTTTTTAGACGACCGTGGGTGTTTAGATCAATTTACGTGCACCTCGACTAATTTTATGGGGCCCTGAGGGGATTGTTAACTTGAAGTTATAAAGGTCGTTTGGCCATTACTAACAAAAATACGAAATTTGATAAATGGGCTTTAATACATGTTAGAAGACAGATCCATATTTAAATCAAATGCCAACAAAAATAAGGACAACCATAACCACCAACAACTACCTTCGTCACAAGAAACCACTACGACTGCCACCACCAAACACACCAACAATACCCAACCCACAACCTCACCAACACCACCCACATTGCCCCTACCAACATTGACACTTCCACCACCGCCAAAAACCACCACGACCACCACCACCAAACACACCAACAAAACATAACCACCACCACCCTCGCCACCTCACAACAACTGATCAACAAGTGGCGCATTAGTAGAGCCACAACCACAGAGATTGGTTAACAAAAGGCCATTCGAGGCCATCTTCATTGCTGCAGGGAGCGTCGATCTGAGGCCAAACACAATTCGTCGTAGCGATGTTCAGATCCAAGCACCGGGATAGAGAGCCAAGCATCACCACAAATCCAAGCACCGACACAGAGAGCTAAGCATCACCACAGCGTAGAAGGTGGTGGGATCCTAGAGAAGGTGATCGACACAGCGCTGTAATGATGATACCAAAGTCACGGTGCTTAGATTTCGCGGCGACGCTCATCGCAGTGAGGCAAGGCGAGCAGTACTCATATTTACCGGTGCTTTAGAGAGAATGAAGGTAGAGAGAAACACAGGACCACGCACACACCTTCGACGTGGATCACCTAACCTACAACAGAGACATGGAGATGGGAGAGGAGAGAGTGAAGAGAGAGAGGTGGTTTTGAAAATGGTTGGGTTAGGTTGATTAATTATATAAATACCACATAATTTTTTGTTAATTAAACTTTGCGTTGATTTTTTAAAAGTGTTCTTAAAACACATGTTATCTTGTAATTTCCACTTTAAATACAGCTCCTTTACTGGGCCAGATTTGATCATATTAGCCCCTAGAGACACGGGCTGACCCACCAGTCCAATTGAAAATTTAGGTAGATATTTTAGTATTACAAAAACTAGATGAAATTTTAAAAATTAGGTATCTTCAAATTCTTTATTGTTGTTATAATGTATGTAATTTTTCTACGTGAACGTATTTTTTATTTATTTATTTTTACAAAACCCTACATTAAATAAGTTACAATAATTATAATTTATAATTTATATTTAAATCATATTACAATTTATATAATTTCTTTGAAATTGTAACTTCTGTTTTGTGTTATTAATTATGATCTGTGTAAGTTTTTTATTCGTAAGTTTGTAACATTTGAACCACCACCTTAAAATTGCGTGTCAATGCTATATCCTAAATTCTTGAAACATCACAAAAACAACTACAAAAATGCATAGATCTGCACCACCATCGAGCAAAGAGCAAATTGAAGCCAAGCACTCTAAATTCAAGCTCACTCACGCTGATTTGATGCTTGGAGGGAGTGGTCACTTATTGTTGGTCGAAAATCTGTCTACATGCTTTTTGTGGTGCCAAATTTTCCCATCATGTAAGAGCTTCATTTCGTAATATCCATCTGTACAAATTTGATCCTTCTCTGTCATGAAAAAACGAAACTTATTCTCGTAAGTTATAATCATCGAAGTCGTTGATGGTGGATCATCCCATGACAGGGCTTTGGTTTTGGGGATGGGGATGGGGATGGGATGGGATGGGTTAATCAATAGAGAGAGTAGGGGAGGAAGGATTCGATTGTTTAGGATTTTTAAAATTATTTTACATATATTAATGTAGTTACAAAAATTGGGTCTAACTTCCTCTAAATGCAAGCCCAAATAAATTATAGGCTTTCAATGCTTTAACTATTACAGACAAAGCCCAATATAATATTCACAATCAAAGAGCGCCAAACAGTCCTTTCAAATCTCATTCTCTCTCCGTCTCTGTTTCTCACACCGAGATACAGTCATTCAGTTCTTCAATGGAAAATTTTCGATAATATTTGAGATTTATTTGGTGAATTCCAAATCGGAAATGCTTGAGAGATTCATCGATGGAAGGGGAGCCTGACCTTCCAGCCCCGCCGGCGGCAGAAAAGTTCACCAGGCTAAATCTGAGTCGTCCGATCAACATCAACCCAGATTCAATCAGTCTTAACCGTACGTTCAACACCACCTCGACCTGCACCTCAACGACGTCGTCTTCCTCCTCTTCCCCTCCGGACTTTGTCCGGCATGTTCAAGCCGCCTTCAAGCGCCACCGCTCCCTTGGTACAATAACGCCCTTTGTCTGTATTTGACTGTTGTTTATTTCAAAATTTGAAAAAAAAAATAGTAAATTGGAATCCGAATAAGTTGCACCTTATGATTTTTTTGTTCTAGTAATCTGCTCTGGGATTTTTTTCCGTCTAAAACCTAGAGAAATTTTGAATTAGGACTTTCGATTGGTTGTACGTTTTGACTTAGGTTTGGTTAATTGAAGTTTACTAACGAGGGCTTTTAGATTATCTGTCAGGATGTTGCTTTGAGCGATTTTTTGTTTGCGCAAAAACGAAGGACTTTGTTTTAGGCTGTAATTTTTTTTTTAATATTTTTTTCCGAATACGTATTATCTTGCTGTTGGATTGCTTTGAGAGAATTTGTTTGCGAAAAGAAAAAATGGAGGAATTTGTTTTGGGCAGTAAAATTTGTATTTGTTTGAATTGTAATAGCTTGTGGTTGGATAGGTAGCAGCGTCTTAACTATCTGTACTATTACAACCAATGAAGTAAATTGGATTTCCAATAAACTTGTATCTGGATTGGAATTAACCGGTATGTCTAATATTTTTTATTTGCTCATTTGAGATCATTTACTATGAATTGCTGAAAAAGTAGGGTCTGTGTTTATATCTTCTGGTTAACAATAGGTTTTCTAATTCTACTATTCTAATCGATCAAAGCTTTATAAAATATCAATTTGATTTCTTAAAATTGTATTGCTAAACCTTTTGTTCTTCATTTCGGACGGACATTTAGGTACATTGCAGTCAAACAGTATTAGGCCAAGGAGATTAGTGGTTCCTCAACGAGGAACATCAAAGGAATCAAATTTAAACCCTCATCTTACATTTGATGCGAAGAAAAGCAACGAAGAGATATTATTGAATCACGGATTGATGGACAGCACGTCGCAGTCCAAGAAAGTGATCTCCTTTGCTACAGATGCTCAAGAGGATGCAGCAACCTCCCCACCTTCTGAATGTGGTTCCACCATAAATACGCAAGAAGGGAATTTTAAGCCATGCAATGATCAAGGAGATCAACCCCAACTCTTTTCTGGATCTAGAAGCAACAATACAATTGCTTCTTCATTGGTTGTCGAACCTGAGCATGTTCCGTTGTCCGAAGTACAAAAGAAGGTCCATTTTGTCTCAGAGAACTATGCCGGAACTCAAGGTAATTACCGATCGTATATTTAATTTAAATGGACTTCATTAATGAGTAGTTTCTTGCATGTTTAAGCATCAGAAAGAAAGACTGTTATACCCTTAGTTATAATATGCACATTGCGAGATGCAAACTATGGTTAGCAATAGTTGCAATTTATGGCAAATATTGCAAAATGTTTATATAGGTGCCGATGAAAGAATGGCCACTGTAATGGACGATTTATTATCTTATATGGATTCGCTTGCACTGACAGAAACGATCTGGGATGCAAGCAACAGAGTAGATCCTTTAGCAGCTGTCAATCAGGATTTGCAGCATCGTAATTTTGAGAGTTTGGAAATGGAAAATAGTTTGAGGTCTGAGGGTGGGATTTCTTCTTTAATGGGTAGAGGAACTATGACCAGTCAGGATCAGCCACACCACCAATTCACAAACTTTTTGCAAAATGACTTGGGTCATGCCATGACTCAGTCCTCAGTTGTTCGGTCAGCTTGCCTTACGTCAACATTAATGAACTCAACTTCAGCTCCGATGATTAGTTCAACAACCTATTGTTCTCTACCTCATCAAATGATTAGGTCTAGTTTGCAAATGGATCCCTCAGGGGAAGCTGAAGTTAAACAAGATGTGGTGCAGCCAGCATATCCTTCGTCAAACTATGCAAGTGGAACTCATCCGTCATCCAGCACTGCACCAGCTGTCAGCTCCATCGTTGAAGTGCCAATGGAAATCGGCAAGTCTTCTGCCCTGTCTAATGAGCAGCTGAGCAATTTTTCGAAGAAATGTAACACTTCTAGAGATTCTCCCCAAAATGAAGATAGCAACTCAGCCAAAGGAAATGATATTGATATAAAATCTCAGCCTCCGTCATCAAAAGTACAATCAGTGGATGCGAAGTTGGAAAATTTTAAGTCAGATAAGCAAGAAAGAGGTGCAAGTGGCAAACCAGCATCAACATCTCGTAAAAAAGGATATGATCCTGATTTGTTCTTCAAAGTCAATGGAAAACTCTATCAAAGGCTTGGAAAGATAGGTAGTGGAGGAAGTAGTGAGGTTCACAAAGTAATTTCGTCAGATTGCAAAATTTATGCCTTGAAGAAGATCAAACTTAAAGGCCGTGATTATGCCACAGCATATGGCTTTTGTCAAGAAATTGAATATCTTAACCGGCTGAAGGGGATGATCAACATTATTCAACTTATTGATTATGAGGTATATGCTTTAAGAAGTGCTAAGAATTTCCGTCGTGCATAAATTCAATGAAGTAGCTGTTACCTGTATTATATATTAATCTTTTGTGTTACCTATGAGACTTGTACCAATTTAAAGGAGTGCATGGAAACCTACCAATTATTAAAAAATTCACTGGAGCTGTTTCAGTGATAAGAATTGAAAGTCACAATTTTGAGGATGAAGTGAGAGTCCAGATGCTTGTTGCTGAATATGGAAACGATTATTGAAATCTGGATTCTGAGAATGCACATAAGAAGGTAGCATTTTATGAGGAATGTTTTGTCCAAATGATCACAATAGCATAAGATTTTCCACCCGTGACTGTACACCGTAAAAGATTTTTTTGTGAGATATTTAAGCTTTTGATTTGTCTAATTAAACATACATTTAGATGCTAATATCACATTTTCTTCTTAGGTGACAGATAAGACTTTGCTTCAGGAAGTCATGAATGGTTCCATGAGTAATAAGGATGCCAGGGTCAAGGATGATGGATATATATACATGGTCCTTGAATATGGTGAAATTGATTTGGCTCACATGCTGTCCCAAAAATGGAAGGAACTGGATAGCTCTAATTCAATGATAGATGAGAACTGGCTCCGATTTTACTGGCAGGTTCATCACTAAATCCTTATTTTATTGAGTTCATTTTTACTGCTATAGCTCAATAAACTTTCTGATGATCATTGCCAAATCCGGGTATTTGTTCTTTAGTTGAAGAGATTCCTTGAACTTTTTTATTTCTAGACTGCATTCACCGCATCTATTTTTTGGTGCCTTATGCCTTTTTTTTTCCTTTTCTTTTCTTTTTTTTTTTAATACTGAAGCTTCTGAATTTTCGTGCAAAAATACTGCAAGTGTCCTGGCTGCATTTTCTTAACTTTTGACCTTTAGTATATGTTCTCTAACTGGTGACATGATGATTTATTCAAAGACAACTGTTATGAAGCAAAATTAATCAACCTTTATATGTCATAAATGAATTTAATTTTGTGTGTTATTTAGCTCATCTGATATCCACCACTGCAAAAATATTGCAGCAAATACTTCTGGCTGTAAACACCATACACGAGGAACGTATAGTGCATTCAGATTTAAAACCAGCCAATTTTCTTTTAGTGAGAGGTTCACTGAAGCTAATTGATTTTGGTATTGCCAAGGCTATAATGAGTGACACAACAAACATTCAACGAGATTCACAGGTTGTTCCATATCCACATCTTCTCGAATATATATTTATACATTGGCTGTGTTTTTGTCTTGTGCTAAGAATGACATGCGACTGCAGGTTGGCACACTAAGTTACATGTCTCCTGAAGCATTTATGTGTAACGAGACTGATGCAAATGGAAATACGATAAAATGTGGTCGTCCATCTGATATCTGGTCACTTGGTTGCATCCTTTACCAAATGGTTTATGGCAGAACACCTTTCTCTGAATACAAAACATTTTGGGCGAAATTCAAAGTCATAACTGATCCAAATCATGAAATTACTTATGAACCTATGTCCAATCCATGGCTATTGGATCTTATGAAGAAATGTCTGGCTTGGGACAGGAATGAAAGATGGAGGATTCCTCAACTGCTTCAGCATCCATTTCTTGTTCCTCCCGTTCCGCCTCAATTTCCTGCCCCTCTTGATGAAAGCTGTAAATTGCTTCGATTGGTTGCTGAATCAAATGTTGATGATCAGAAGGTTTCGATGCTATGCACTGAGCTAGAGAATATGTTGGTGAACCCGAGATCGTTAATTCCGCCGCAAGAAACGATATCCCCAGACTTGCAACGCAAGTTACTTTATAAAATGTCAACCCTTTGCTTTCAGCTCCACGAACAGTTAGCAAATGTGGAAAGAGATGCAAAGATCTAACCTTGCAACTGTATTCTCATTTGAAGCAGTCAATTTGTAACCTTTTCTTATTTAAGTAGTTGTTTTGGGGAGGGGAGTTAGCAAGACCGGGGCCTTAATGGCATGTTTGGTAAGAAGAATTGAGACGTACTAAGCATGTCAATTTGGAAACTAGTTATCAATGGCATATAGCTAGTAATAGGTAATTGTAAAATTCTTTCAAGAAGTTTAAGCTTAACACCATACTCCGATAAATCGGAATGGTCAATCTGTAGTATGCTTCCTTCCAATCCTGCAGCTCCATGAATATCTGAAGTGATAAAAGTTTCAAAAAGAGGTTAACTCAATAATATGGGAACGAAAAGTTATATCCCATTTCAATATTACTATAAGCTCATAACAAGTTTCAATCATAAGTTACTTGTATTCACTTTGATCATGAATAATTTAGATGTGAATTTAAAACAATATCCAATGATACATGACGTTCTATTTATCGCCTTAATTTCATTAACTAAACCTATGTTATCTTGTTTTAAGTACACCTCGTTTATGAAACCAAATAGACATTAATGTCAAGTAAACTAGAAGTCCTTCAACTCGAATGTCAAGTAAGCTCCAATTCGTTCAATGCATTAGAGATGCTCTGAGATTCATCATTATCGACACTTTCTTTGCTGTTGTTTTTTCTGTTTCTAGGCAGCGTGCATGAAATCGTCCACCCTTTTTCCCCTTATTTATTTTCTGAGTTTTAAGGTCTCTTTTGAATCATTAACAAGGGCTTCAAGCCCTTCAAAACCAACCCACAAATGGGGCAAACAAATTGTTCATTTTCCAGTTAAAAGAACCAAAGTGTTCATTTGATCTACATTATTTGGAAAAAAATACAATCTTAGAGAAAGTGATTTTAACATCATTTCAATAACGCGTTCTTCAATAAAACAATATTACATTCAAATTCAAAAAAAAATCTTATTTTTTAACTAGACATTTTCCATCAATACATTTTTTCCAAAATATTGTGGCTCAAATACTATTCAAGAATGCATTTTTTTTTTTTCAAATTCAAAATACTATGCAATAATGCATTTTTTTCCAAACTAATGTGGCTCAAACAAGGGCTAAAAATAACAAGGCATGGCCCAATACACGTTAGGCTAGGTTAGCCACCAAACCCAAAAAGTTTGTATAACCAGCAAGTTTGAAGAGTCTGATCCAACTCACCTTACACCTCTTATCACATCGTCGTAGGGTTAGGAAGGTTGGCAATTTATGAAACATCAAATGTACATGGTATTTATGTTCCATGTGACATTTCATTTCATGTTACATTCTTCGAATAAAACAAGGCTGGGCAAAGTTTGATGACACCTGCCCCTAAGAAGGGAAAACCCATGGGACACGACTCGTCCCGAATCACCCTAGTACACCCGTAACGTGACATGCGCCGATGATAGATACTAACTAGACGTCGTCAAATCTACCACCAAAGCTGACTATGAGTTACAAAAAAATGCGCCAAAATCAAATGCTTATTTAAAATATGATGCATCAGGCCAAAATAATTACTTCATGCTTCGTCAATATAAATCATAACACTCAATAGTGGCACTTTGAAATTATTAGGCTTCTCCAGCTATAAAAAAACCAGTTGCTACCTCTAGGAAAAAAATTACCGAAAAATATATGAGTTGATAGCTCAGTGAGTGGAGAATTTCAAAAATAATTGTACTTTTTCATTTTTTTATTTTTGTCGAAAATCAAGCTCATATCACTTCATAATTCACAAAATAACATTATATAATTATAACAAAAAAGTGAGACATTTACATAACATCATAAAATATCATCTCAAAGTCAAGCTATAAACATTAACTGATAACTGTACTATAATTCATCATATCAAATGTATTGAAAAATTCACTAAAAATGTACCCTCTGACCAAAATGTGTAATCCACCCCTCGGGCTAAGAATTTTTGCCACATGCCTTTGGCCCCCTCCGTGATCGAAAGCCGATCTCAAGACCCCTTGTAATCAATTCTAGAATACGATTAAGGTCCCTCTGTGAACTATATGTACACGACCAAGACCAATGTCAGATCAAGACCTCTCCGTGTAGGATAGAACACGGTCAAAGCGCCTCTGTGAACTAGAAGAAGTATATAATCATGAGTACTTTTCTGGCCGTCTCAATATTATGTCTCACACCAAACAAATCTTAATGTCACATATCTTACATACCAAGTCACAAATTTGCCATAAATGATCTTTAAGATTCCACATGTATTATAATAAAAGAGATTTCCATAATTGCACATACTTTGATAATATATTTAATTTATAAATATTTTAAAAATATTTATATTTTTTCACTCACAAAACTATGTTCGCAAAATCAACTCGATTGGTAAGTTGTACCGATATCCATATCGTCGTCGAAAATATGATACAATTTTTAAATTAACAATTAATTATTTTAAGTAATCTCAATAATTAAATATGCGATACCCACACTTAATCATTTCACATTTAAGCAATTTTTAAAGTCCCTTTAATAATTAAAACTAGTTTTTTTTTTCATTTAATTCAATTTCATAGCTTATTATACTTAACTCCTTCAATAAAATTGAATTTAATGTAACAATCTAACAACTATAAAATTAAATATAACTTGACAATAAGTAACTTTTTACTTACCTTTCAAAATTATGAAATTCAAGCCTAATAGTGTAGACGACTTATTTTCTAACAACTTGGCAAATTTTTTTATTTATTATATATTTTTTTATACCTCTTTCTCTTTTTCTCTCTGCTTTCGTTTTCCTATGTGTGTGTTTGTGTGTGCAATTGAATGGATTGGAACTTGGATTGGTTGATATAAATCAATCCACAGCCTCCCTATTTTTTTTTTTACATGTTTGACTTTTCTTTTCTTTTTTGTCTTATTAAATTAATGCATTACACCATGTGAATTTTTTGAGGATGTGCTGTCTTCATTTTGCCTTTTTCTTCTTCTAAGATAAGTTGATTTAACTTGTCATTTTGTTCCTTATCCCAAAAAAAAAAAAAAAAAATTTAACTTGTCTTTTTTTTTCTTATCCCCAAAAAAAAAAAAAAAAAAAACCAAACTTTTCATTTTGTTAAGATTCCTTTTTAGCCGTACTTAAAAACAAAAACTTTAAAACTCTTTGAAGTAAAAATAAAAAAAAATGATGAATGTCCCCACGAATCTAGTACAAAGAGCAAAGTAGTTCTGTGGGTCTAAATTCATGGACTTTAAGCTTTTGTTGATGCCACTTTGCTGTGAAGCAAATCGAATCGCATATTTGCCAGCACGATTGACTTTTGCTCCCTTTTCTGTTTTCAAAATTTGTCTTGGATTGATTTGTTATATTAGGATCTTTTTGTGAGAATAGAACGAGGAAAACGTGTCGTAATCTATTAAAATCGATATAAGAGTCGTGTGAAAATAGACAAAAACTTTAAAACTCTTTGAAGTAAAAATAAAAAAAAATGATGAATGTCCCCACGAATCTAGTACAAAGAGCAAAGTAGTTATGTGGGTCTAAATTCATGGACTCTAAGCTTTTGTTGATGCCACTTTGCTGTGAAGCAAATCGAATCGCATATTTGCCAGCACGATTGACTTTTGCTCCCTTTTCTGTTGTCAAAATTTGTCTTGGATTGATTTGTTATATTAGGATCTTTTTGTGAGAATAGAACGAGGAAAACGTGTCGTAATCTATTCAAATCGTCGTGTGAAAATAACATGTTAAACAATTTAAACTATAAGTAACATTTTTTGAGCCGGCTCGCCGCTCAAACAAGAAGTCTTGTACTCATTTGTCATCTAATAAGTTATGCTGGATAACTCGATCTGACAAGAAATGTCATGATAATACCTATAAGTTCTGAGATATAAAGGTCAAGCATGACCCGAGCCAAGTCAGTGTAGCCATTTATGCCACATCAAACACGGAATAAGTTGCCTTGAGTTTGGATTAACTAAAGTCAACTTCTTATACCTCCATTTGTGTGGTACTAGTGAATAATTGTCGATGACTTGGTAAGAAGAGGAAAATAAAACATGAAGATTGAGTAGACGTTAATCAGTGGAAAAAATAATATTTCACATGTCAAATATAAAATAAAATCTGACATGTTGACAAAAATCGAAAATGCTGATTGTCCAGGCCAAAAAACAGGGTGCCGAGGTGTTTCCACCTCGGCCGTCAGATCTGAAAAAAAAAATGTATGGAATCTGGGGGCTGAGGTGATGCCACCTCAGCCCCCTGTTTTTTACCCTGTTTCTGAGCCTGGCTCAGAAGCAGAACTCGACAAAAATAATACTACTATAAGATCATTCACAAAATCTCAACAACGAAATTTGCTATACACGTTTCGACAACTTTTTTATTTCATTATTATATGAACAAATAGATTACTTCACCTAGCAAATAAGCATTAATTCACCTCAATATTCTCAAGCATTTTTATATTAACATGGAATATTCTTTTCTTAGGTAGAAAAAAAAAATGAAAAGAATTAAATGAAAATGTTGAAAGGGTATTAATAAAAAAAAAAAAAAAAGAAAAAAGAAAAAAGAAAAAACTTTTCATTTTGTTAAGATTCCTTTTTAGCCGTACTTAAAAACAAAAACTTTAAAACTCTTTGAAGTAAAAATAAAAAAAAATGATGAATGTCCCCACGAATCTAGTACAAAGAGCAAAGTAGTTATGTGGGTCTAAATTCATGGACTTTAAGCTTTTGTTGATGCCACTTTGCTGTGAAGCAAATCGAATCGCATATTTGCCAGCACGATTGACTTTTGCTCCCTTTTCTGTTTTCAAAATTTGTCTTGGATTGATTTGTTATATTAGGATCTTTTTGTGAGAATAGAACGAGGAAAACGTGTCGTAATCTATTAAAATCGATATAAGAGTCGTGTGAAAATAGCATGTTAAACAATTTAAACTATAAGTAACATTTTTTGAGCCGGCTCGCCGCTCAAACAAGAAGTCTTGTACTCATTTGTCATCTAATAAGTTATGCTGGATAACTCGATCTGACAAGAAATGTCATGATAATACCTATAAGTTCTGAGATATAAAGGTCAAGCATGACCCGAGCCAAGTCAGTGTAGCCATTTATGCTACATCAAACACGGAATAAGTTGCCTTGAGTTTGGATTAACTAAAGTCGACTTCTTATACCTCCATTTGTGTGGTACTAGTGAATAATTGTCGATGACTTGGTAAGAAGAGGAAAATAAAACATGAAGATTGAGTAGACGTTAATCAGTGGAAAAAATAATATTTTACATGTCAAATATAAAATAAAATCTGACATGTTGACAAAAATCGAAAATGCTGATTGTCCAGGCCAAAAAACAGGGTGCCGAGGTGTTTCCACCTCGGCCGTTGGATCTGGAAAAAAAATGAATGGGATCTGGGGGCTGAGGTGATGCCACCTCAGCCCCCTGTTTTTTACCCTGTTTCTGAGCCTGGCTCAGAAGCAGAACTCAACAAAAATAATACTACTATAAGATCATTCACAAAATCTCAACAACGAAATTTGCCATACACGTTTCAACAACTTTTTTATTTCATTATTATATGAACAAATAGATTACTTCACCTAGCAAATAAGCATTAATTCACCTCCATATTCTCAGGCATTTTTATATTAACATGGAATATTCTTTTCTTAGGTAGAAAAAAAAAATGAAAAGAATTAAATGAAAATGTTGAAAGGGTATTAATGGAAATGCTGCAAAAAACATAATTGCTCATGAGATTATGATATAATTAGACTAAGTAAATAAATAAATAAAATTGCAGTCTTTTATTGCCATTGCCAACTTTAAGTATATATTTCTTAATTAGGGAAAACGAAGTTCAGTTGTTGAATACATCAAAACCTTTATTTATCAATTCCATTCCATTTACTTATTCAAAGTCACCCGCCCGAAATTTCAAGCAAGTTGAATATAAAATTATGATTTTTAAACAAAATTTAGCCCCCATTTAGTGAAGCTAACAATAAGATTTTAATTAAAAATTGATGAAATGTGTTGTTAAAAAGTTAATGAATTTTATGAAATATGTGATAAAATAATTTTAAAAATTAGGGCCAAACAAGATCTTAATATGAATACCAAAAAAAGTGAAAAACTAACTTCTCGAGCATTTATTTCAATTTCTTACCTAAACTTCAACAAATCGTGGCTTCTTTAATATTATTTATGAACAATCTTATTGTTGTTTGATTAATCTCTTTTCAATTTGAATATGAACATGTTTAGTATGGTACATTAAATAATACATAAGAGAACAAAAAAAATAAAATAAAATTGTCTCTATCTTTAATTATATTCTAATGTACGATATATTGCATTATTAGATGCCTGACATTTTATCTTCTGCATCGCCCCTTGCGTAACGGACAAGAGTTGCAATGGAGATTGTGACATTCGTAAGGAAAATGTCTTGGGACTTGAATCTCTTACATCATTTTCTTTTTCTTTTTTTTTTTTTTTTTTTAATTTCCATGTTAACGATTTGAATTTTCAGGGATTAATTGTGAATTAACATTTATTTCAAAAAAAAAAAAAAAAAAAAACCTTTCCAGCATAAAATCTACAAATCAGTGACTGCCACGTTGCTTCACCTCTTGCTCCCACCTGTCATCCTCTCCCTCCTCCAATACGCCGGCCATAAAACTCGGAAAAAAGGAAAGAAAAAGAAAAAAGACTCCCAATTCAACAATTGCCAGCGGAATCCCTTCCCTTCTTCCTTCTTCATCCATTTCCGTGTTCACGCTAACTTCTCTCCTCAATTCTCCATCTGGTATATACATACACTCAAAAATCCGATTACTATACGTATCTACTTCGATGTATTAACTCAAATGTCTGTTTTTTTCCCAATAATTTTTTGTAGAAGCTACGCGTGATTTTGCAGAGAAAATGATAGGTAATTAGTGAATACTTTTGAAGAAATCAGAGCACTATGCTTATGATTTTCTTATGGCTATGCATCCGTTCTGTTGCGTTTCATCAATGACAATTAACAGCAACGATATGCCTCCTGCGCCGGCGCCGGCGCCGGCACCGGTACTTTCGACCGATGCACAAATTAAGAATCGGAATTCGGTGGTGTCAAGGACGTCGTCCACGCGTGAGGATTATCAAATTACAAGTGTTTTGAATACAAATTGCAGTAATAATCATAGTCAAAATTACCATAGCCGAGAGCAGCAGCAAGTGAAGATCAATGATATAGTGGGCGATGGAATTTCTGGGATTTTATGCAAATGGGTCAATTATGGTAAAGGGTGGAGGTCTAGATGGTTTGTGTTGCAGGATGGGGTGTTGAGTTACTACAAGATCCGTGGGCCTGACAAGATTTTGGTTAGTCAGGAGGCTGAAAAGGGATCGAGAGTGATCGGGGAAGAGTCGATCAGACGGATGACGAGGCAGAATCACCACAACCATCATCATAAGAATGTAACTAATGGTTTTTCTTCGAAAAGCCGGAAGCCCGTTGGTGAAGTTCACTTGAAGGTTAATTTTCTTAATTGATTAGTAGTGAATTTTCCTATATGTTGCTAGGTTTTTTGTTCGGTGGATGCTATAATTGGTATTGGAACTGAATATTTTGAAAAAGAAAATAATTTGAGTTTGAATTATTTTGTTTGGTTCAATTATTTTTTACTTTTTAAATTTGAATTCTTTTAATTTACCAGCCTCTGTTTCGTTTATAGGTGTTTTAATTTTTGTGCATTAATTTTGGCTTTTTCTTTGGAAGAGAGAATTTTGTGGTGGAAACTAAATCTTGTTGAAAAATATATTGAATTTTGTCATGGGTCACGGAGTATTTTTTTTTTTTAATTATTTTTTTTCAGGATGGGTTTAAATCATTACATTATTTCCTGTTATTATTAGAACGCCTATCTACTTTTCCTGTTATTTTGTTTGGTTGTCATTTTTTAAATCCTATGATCAAGGATGTTCTTTTCTGTGCCAATACGCTGATGCTGCATTACATATAAGGAGTATGATTTTTGTTAGACCAATTAAATGGTGGGAATGTTGTAATCTATCATTGCATGGTTTATTTCCTGGAGTTAACTTTTAACATCCTTGTGCTTCCATTTCCTGTGATTTATGTGTGTTCTCTTCCCTAATTCAATTGCTTATATATTTTCTGGTCGTTTAAAATTCTTGTAATTTTCAACAGGTCTCATCTATTAGAGAGAGCCGTTCAGATGACAAGAGATTTTCCATTTTCACAGGAACAAAGAGACTGCATTTGAGGGCAGAGAGCAGAGAGGATCGAATAGCATGGATGGATGCACTACAGGTCGTGAAGGAGATGTTTCCGAGAATTTCCAACAGTGAGTTAATGGCTTCTCTGGACAATGTTGCTGTCTCAACTGAAAAACTGAGACAGCGATTGTTGGAAGAAGGTGTAAGTGAATCTGCCATTCAGGACAGTGAGCTGATAATGAGAAATGAATTTGCATCTCTGCAGAACCAATTGATGCTGTTGAAGCAGAAGCATCGGATGCTCACTGACACTTTGCGACAGTTAGAGGTACATGTTATAACTGGTAGAACTTTAAAAGCTGAACTCAAAATTCTTCTTCGAGGATCTGTGCGCCTGAAGTGCTTATATCATACCTTTGCTGCTTCACAGCTACTTATTTATTTCTTTTTCATTGGTGATGGTGGTGGCGGCCCCCGGGGGGGGGGTGTTCATACTTGTTTGGCGTCTTTAGCTATTTCCCTTTCTTTCCTGAACTGATTGTGCAGCAATACTTTCTAGTATTTATATTGTGGGAGATTTATTAGGAATTTATTGTATAGATTAATCTTCTATAAGATCATCTATGTTAAGTTTCTCTTGCATAGCATGCGTAGTCTTCTTTCCGCTTGCTTGTGTTTCATTATAAGTAACTGAAATTATAATGTGATAGAAATGAGTGGTGGATAAGTGGGTAGTAGTTGTGGTCTTACAAAAAGTGTGGTTAAATATTAGAGTTCTACTTTAACCTTCAAATTATAAGCATAATTTAATGAAAGGCAAATAAGCTTTTTGTTTCCCAAGCCATTAGGAGAAGGATGAATAGCAGTTGAGCTATTTGTTTGATAGCAGAATAACAAAGTAATTTCTTACTGTTATATAACGTCACTTCATTTAAGAAGTCATTCATTTGCTAATTGATCTGTGTATAGTGGTTGGAAAATTCAAAGATTACGTTAATGTTTATACCAACATATAAGAAGTGGGACTTCGTGTTTCTTCTCTTTATTTATGTTCTTCTTTACCTGGTTGGCTAAGATATTTTTTTATATGTGGTATTTTGTAGACAGAAAAGGTAGATTTGGAAAACACTGTTGTTGACGAGAGCCAGAGACAGTTGAATGAAATTGGAGCATCTAGTAGATCGAGGCAAGACAAATACAGTGGTATGTTTCGTGTGCTTCTTTTCTTATGTTTGTCCTTCATGATTGACACTGACTGAGCAGAACTAATTTTACATACGTTTTACCCTACATGATTGGGTCGCAATGTAAGCGAGTTAAGTTGTTGCATTCTGTTGTCTATGTTACCACATTGCTTTCTCTTTAAGTTCTATAAATGAATGAAATGGTCAAATTGTGGCTGACTAGCATGATCAATCTTTCTTACCTTTTGTTCTTCAGATCATGAATTTTTTCAGTGTTATAAATTTCTTGTTTCAATTTTTTTGAATGGATGGCTACTAATTTTTATCAGAAGCCCACACAGTTTTTGGATTCTTTGATATGCATTTATTTTGAAGAACTGCAGCAATCTTATTACTCTTCTGGGTGCTTTTACTAGAAAGTGTGAGTGAATCTGAAGATGAAAATGAAAGAGTTGATGCAGCAGAGGATGATACTGATGATGAAGAAAATACATTCTTTGACACAAAGGACTTTCTATCATCGAGTTCTTTCAAAAGCAATGGTTCTGACTTTAGGACATCGTCATTTTCATCCGATGACAAGGAAGTATATGTTATTGAAGCTGATGATTCTGTTGATCCTGCCATTAGAGCTGCTGGGACTAACTTTCCTTATGTTAAACATCGGAAGAAACTGCCAGACCCTGTTGAGAAAGAGAAAGGAGTGAGTTTATGGTCAATGATTAAAGATAATATTGGGAAGGACCTGACAAAAGTGTGTCTTCCTGTATACTTCAATGAACCTCTCTCTTCCCTCCAAAAGTGTGTTGAAGATTTGGAATATTCATATCTTCTCGATCGTGCTTATGAATGGGGAAAGAGGGTAAGTTCACAGTAGACATAATTCATTTTTACATCTCTGGGTAGTGGTTTCATAGAAGTGATGTGCATGCTTATAGGCCATTTTTAAACTGTGATTGTAAATTGGTATAGTTTCCCCAGAATATATCGAAATGTTTGCATTTTTACAAGATCTTTAGTTGTTTCCTGTTAGACTTAGTTGGCATTTTATAGCTCCCCCCCACCCCACCAAAAAAAAATAAAAACACACACACACACACACACACACAAAAACCCAAAATTGCTTGGAGGGGAGAGTAAAGGTCTGGATTGTTAAGAGTAATGCAGTTTCTAAGTTCCTCGATTATATCTGGAAGTAGAAAAGCAAGTATATCTTATCAATCTATTTACTTCCCTTTTAAGTTCCTTCAGAGTTTTTTTGGGATATTCGGCTTTTCCTAGGAAATTGAGTACTGAGTAATTTGTCTACAATTGTTGTGTTAGCATTGTTCACTAAAATTATATCATACATATCAAACACCACTTAATTATTTATTAAGGATCATGTGTCTCTTATGTGGTACGGCAAGGTTGAGCTAAATGCCCAGGAAGTGTTTTTTGGGAAGTTCTGCGTTTTCTATTTCTGTTGTTCACTGCACGTTCCCTTTTTAACATCTAATCTGTTTATCATAAAATTTTTGATAGGGTGACAGCCTTATGAGGATTCTAAATGTAGCTGCATTTGCAGTATCTGGATATTCTTCCACTGAAGGAAGGAATTGCAAACCATTTAATCCACTGTTAGGGGAGACTTATGAGGCCGATTTTCCAGATAAAGGCTTCCGATTCTTCTCAGAGAAGGTATCAATTTACCTGAATCAATGATCCTTTTTTTTTTCATCCATACTTTTGCTCATCTTCTATAACACTTTCAATAGGTTTAAAGTTTGATTGTATAGATAGATGCCTTGGGATCATATACAAGATACTATAGACCAAGAATGGGACTTTCTTGTATTTATTACCTGAAGAAATATAATTTTCCTTCTTGATAGGTTGCTGTTTGATCCGTTCACAAAAGTCGTCTGTATTTAAAATCTAGATGAGTATGTCAATGTGGTTACATTTGAAAGGTAAAGGTCAAGATCTTCGACATCATGTTCAATATAGTTCAACAGTGACTGGTAGTGTCGAACAAGTTACACTGAGCAAAACAAGACATTTCATCTAATGTTCTTGTGTTATTTGCCATATGATTCGTCTGAGTTTCTAGAGGAACATTAGAATTGCTGAGAAGTGTATTCAGTCAAAATAATGTTTAATGAATATTTGGTTTCTTTTTCTCAGTTTAGACAAGTCTTCTGCAAGCCTAGTTATAAAATACCTGGAAGGTTATCTTTTGGCCTTCATTATATGCACGTATGTCAAGACGTTGGTGGTTTTGTTGTTAATATCGCTCCTAATAACCAACGATGCTGCGGATTTCAATACAAGGAAAATCTTCCTGTTTTATGCATGCACTGTGATCAAACAGAAATAATGCTGGCTTCTTTTGGATCAGGTGTCTCACCATCCAATGGTAGTAGCATGCCATTGTGAGGGTACTGGCTGGAGGTTTTATGGTGATAGCAATCTGAAAAGCAAATTTTGGGGTCGCTCAATCCAGCTTGATCCAGTTGGTGTTTTAACTCTAGAATTTGATGACGGAGAAGTTTTCCAATGGAGTAAGGTATTATCTCGAAAACTCAAGAATTCTTTTTTCATTGTTCATTTTCATGCCTAACAGACCTGTTTGTGACAGGTAACAACATCGATATACAATCTTATTCTGGGGAAACTATATTGCGATCACTATGGTACAATGCGGATAGAAGGAAACAGTAATTACACATGTAAACTGAAATTCAAGGAGCAGTCTATCATAGACAGAAATCCTCATCAGGTCTTTTCCCTTCCTATATGATTTGCTTCTAGACCTCTAAAGAATTAATGAATTATTCTGGTTTATATTTTCTTTTGGGTGGCGAGAAATAATCAATTTTTTAATTGTTAAGGGCTTCTGCATAAAATAAATTCACTTTCGCAGGTGCAAGGAATGGTCCAAGATAGGATCGGAAAGACAGTAGCAACTCTATTTGGAAAATGGGATGAGAGCATGCATTATGTCAAAGGAGACTTCTCATCTAAAGGAAAAGGTCACGAATCTTTGTCAGAAGCTCGTTTGCTCTGGAAACGAAGCAAAGCTCCTGAGTTTCCTACGCGTTATAATTTGACACGCTTCGCCATCAGACTGAACGAGCTTACTCCTGAGCTGAAGGTGATTTTTTGGAATGATTCATTATCTAAATGTTTCCACCAAATGATTGTTTTTCTTTAGTTGGCGAGTGTTCAGCCTGAAATGTTTTGTTCTTTGAATAACATCTTCTAGTTGGAAATTACATGAATATGTATTTTAATTTGAATCGTTAATTCTATTATTAGGCACTGAGATCCTCAAATTACATAATATACTTATTGATACTCCGTTTAAATTGATACCCTCTGCTGCTGTAACGATCTTTCATTGGCATACATTAGAGTCAGCAAAGTTGCTAGAGCTCTTGAACATTTCTCATAAGTACTCATTGTACTAAGATGGACTTTCATCCTTTGCAGGACAAGCTGCCCCCAACAGATTCAAGGCTGAGACCTGATCAAAGGTGCTTGGAAAATGGGGAGTATGAAATGGCTAATGCAGAAAAATTGCGACTGGAGCAGCGGCAGCGGCAGGTAACTGTTTGAGCTTGTTTCAGACTAATCATGCAGCTGACTCATCAGCTAAAAATTAGATGCATGAGCCAGAATCTAGAGGTTGATGTGTTTGGTGGCTTCTTTATTAAAAAAAATCTCCAATTTTTCTCAGCTGGTTTCTTTGTGACTCCGCTATGATACCCTTTCTCATGATTAATAGTAAACTTAACATAAACCACATTATTGGTCCTTCATAATGCCCTTAGAGCAAGAAGTGAATTTAACTAGATTACACAGTCCCTCTTTTTCTCCCTATACGTTTTAGCTTCTAAAGGTGTCGTTGGGTTCTCTCTTATGGTAAGGTAGTGTACTGTACAATTACATTGGCAGTATAGTAGAAATAAAATGAAATTGAAAATGTTATCTATTTGCACTTGTTGTATGCCTGAATCTTCTGTCTTTGTCTTGGGATTTCACATATTACATTAGCTCATAAAATGGTGCAACTTGTGTGCTATACTATCCTTGAACATGTTTGCATTTTTATTTATTTCTGGAAATCAGGCCCGGAAGATGCAAGAGAGGGGTTGGAAGCCTCAGTGGTTTGCAAAGGACAAAGGCTCGGATACCCACCGCTACATTGGAGGGTATTGGGAAGCCAGGGAACAGGAGAAATGGGAAACATGCCCTGATATTTTCGGTCAAATCTCATCCGATCAAATCTTATAGTGAGTTAACAGGAGTTGAGTCTTGGTTGGTTGCATTGTTCATATTATTGCTGGAAATATTGGAAAATAGCCGTTGATAATTGGCACAAGCCGTGCGTGTATATAACTTAGACGAAGCAACTAAGTTGGTTCAGTTGATATTCATTCCGTTTCTTGTTTTCTTCAATTTTCTTCTACATGGGTCCTTGGTTTTTACTGTGAACACTAGAAAGGTTGAGGCCGGTTTTGTAAGACATATTGATCGTCGACCTTTTTTCTTTTACCATTTTTTGCCATTTCCCAGATGTATCTTAAATTCTAAAGGAATGAGCTGATGGGTTGAACTATGCATTTAAAGAGAATGCATTCCTTTTGGATTCATTAATAACAGATGGAATTATATTGAAGATCTTTTTGGTTTTTGCTCTGTTTCGTGAAGCATTTTTTTTCTTGCTCAATTCATAGCTTATTTGCTTTTCAAGTGTTTTGATGTCAACTTTGATTTTTATGTGTTTTTAAATTATACAAATTATTATTTATAATTAGAAAGGAAGTGTTTTGTTTTTCAACAATTCCCCTGTTTCTTCCAATTACAATGACTGATCTATGAAATACTTAAAAACAAGTAGCTTAGATGCGTTTATTTTTGGCTGTAAGCATATACTGCCGAAAGAAAACCCGACACTCTCCATACTTCAAATTTCAATTGAAGACCCTTACGAAGAAATTATGCTCTCCTCTTCCTCTTGTTGTAATTTTTAGGTTTTCAAGATGATGATGACACTTTTACTACGGGTAAGGGCTAAGTTACGTGCAAGGAAAAAAAAATGTTTTGAGTAGAGAATAAATTACTTAAAAGTTAAATGAGCAAAGTGATTACATGTATATGACTTATTTTTAGAAGTATGTGATGTTTTTTTTTCTTTTTTTTGTTTTTTTATGTTTTTCGTTCATAAGCATTAATTTAATTCAATTTGGTTCTTGATTACATAAGACCTGAATTATAAGAGCAATGATATTCGTAGTGAAGACTGCTGGTAGTCGTTCTATGTAACATACACTTGGCAATTTGGTATTTGATACATAGATATGGTAGTTATTTTTTGAATTATACATCAAATGAAAAACTGTTAAGTGTACGCTACATAGGGCCACTGTCGGTAGTCTTCACTGCGAATAGCATTATTCGAATTATAAAGGTTAATGGTTACATCTTTAATATCAACTCAGGTGTTGTGAAATCACACTTGTGAAGGCGAGGAATTCAAAGACTTTGTGCTTTTTTTTTTTCAAATATAAACAAAGATTTTTTCATAGAAATACGTAATTGGATTTTACTACCTGTACATCAAAATTGTACATTGAGTCATTACATAATATGATAAGGAGAAAGATTGGATGAGAAAGTTAACTGTGTTTTAAATTGACAAATGGTAGAGTGTGTCGTCTGGCATTATATAACCCTTGATATACATGTAGCAAAATCCTACGTAAGTTTATATCAAAATTTAGCACATCCTAATATTTGGTTCTAACTCTTGATTATCCTTGGTTTCGTGTTAGGTGCATAAGGCAAAAAACTGTACTATTATGAAGCTACCTCTAACACGCTATTGAGAAAAAAATGGCATCGACAAATTTATGACAACCCTCCTTCCATAAACACTGTAAAATAAAAAGGACATTATATCAGGGCGCTAACCTAATCTTTGGATATTAAACAATTTTTTCATGCACTGATGTTACTCTCATTGCATTTTAGTAACTATCTATCAAGTGACCGACACCTTGCTCAAGAGAACAACTAAACACCTTCCTTGCTTGATGATTGAAAATATGACATTTTTCTATGAAATACTTCAAGAATGGTGAAACTAAGAAAAGAAAATTTCCACTATTAATATCAGAGAACGCTTCGAAATACTACACATTAAAAACTTGTATTACGAGTACAATCTATCGCTTGTTGAATGTTCTCAACTTACTCTCTCACTTTACCGACTTAGTTTACAAATGAGGCTTTCTTGGCCTAATATAGTTCCACCTCGTTAAATATACCGTGTTGATTAATCGCATCCAAATATCTAGTTTATCTTGTTGTATAATTTAGTTCTTTAAATTACCGGATCTTTCATGTTAAATCATCAAGAAATATAAGAATTAAAGCGGAAGCATATCTGAATCAGACATGGTTAATGCAATATGAATTTCACGGTATGATCTTCCAAATCTATACGCAGTCTCCTTTTCCTCTCTGTGATGGGATGCAGTAGAGAATGAATAATACGTTGCGTGTGATCTGGGGACCATAACATATTTATATAGAGATGCCCTTTGACCTAATTCGGCCCATCATAGAATTAGGACTTGGACCCGGTCTCTACACATATGTAAACCCATACTTTAACTGGATACATTAAAACCCAAAATCGAAACCTTATTAGATCACTTTAATTGGGCTTAACCGAATTCGATAGCCTATAATTTAACACACAATTATTCACACATACAAGCTCGTCTTTAATTAAAAATTCTTACAATCTCCCACTTGGGTTATATGTGTCACCTTATAATTGTACATTAAACATAATCTTATGAGTACTCAGAATTTTGCTATCATTACCGAATGTATCCCCAAACAATCCCGTCCATCAATCATATCAATATAGGATCAAAGCGACTTTCGCTACTTTCACGTAGCTAAACCCATCAATGGTCATGTATATCAATATAACCGAATGACATAGATCAAGCATGGATGTGTAGCATGGAAATTACATGTAATGTGATCTGTAACATGCTTATTTCCAACTAGTCCACCTTAATACCTTAGTGAAATCATTTTAAATAAGTTCAGAGATAATTAACTAAATAACTTTATAACTGAAAATAATTTTAACTTTAAATCGTATCCAAAATAACAGTATATGTGTCCAATATGAAAAGCAAAAAATACAAACTCCCACTGAAACTAGATATCCTCAAGAGACATTACACCCATATGAGCAGTGTGCTCATGAAAGACCTTGGGTATCAATCCCTTAGTAAGCGGATCCGCAACCATGGAGTTTGTCCCAATATGCTTTATCGACACCTGTCCACTCTGAACTCTTTCTTTAATAGCAAGGAACTTGATCTCTATATGTTTTGACTTTGTCGAGCTCCTGTTGTTATTGGAATACAACACTGCTGATTTATTGTCACAAAATATCTTAAGTGGTCTTTCTATATTGTCCACAATGCGCAGCCCAGTGACAAAATTACGTAATCATATTCCATGATTTGATGCCTTATAACACGCTATAAACTCCGCTGCCATAGTGGAAGTAGCTATGAGTGTCTATTTAGCACTTTTCCAGGAAATAGCACTTCCAGCAAGGAGGTAAATATAGCCTGAAGTGGATCTCCTACTATCTTGGCATCCCGCGAAATCGAAATCAGAATAACCGATGATCTCCAACTGATCCGATCTCCTGTATGTGAGCATGTAGTCTTTTGTTCTCTGTAAATACCGCATGACTCGTTTGGCTGCTTTCCAATGATCCATTCCCAGGTTACTTAAATATCTCCCTAGCATCCCAACGATGTACGCTATATCCGGACGCGTACAAACTTGAGCATACATCAGACTCCCTATAGCTGAGGAATAAGGAATCTTCTGCATTTCTTTAAATTCCAAGTTATTTTTAGGGCACTGACTTAAGCTGAACTTGTCTCCTTTAGCCACAGGGGTGTCACATGGTTTACAATCTTGCATGCCATATCTTTTAAGTACCTTTTCGATATAGCTCTTTTATAATAATCCAAGAATACCTCGAGAACGATCTCGGTGTATCTAAATTCCTAATACAAAAGAGGCATCACCAAGATCTTTCATCTCAAAATTCTTTGCTAGAAATCTCTTGGTTTCGTGCAATAAGCCTATATCGTTGCTGGCAAGCAATATGTCATCGACATATAAAATCAGAAAAATATACTTGCTCCCACTGAACTTGCGGTATATACAATCATCAACCAAATTCATCTCAAAACCAAATGAGATGATTACCTGGTGAAACTTGTAATACCATTGACAAGATGCCTGTTTGAGTCCATAGATGGATTTCTTTAATTTACAAACCATTTGCTTTGCATCGTCCGATACAAAGTTTTCTGGTTGTACCATATAAATTGTTTCATCAATGTCACCATTGAGAAACATTGTCTTAACATCCATCTGATGTAGCTCAAGATCGAAATGCGCTACCAATGCCATTATACTCCTGAAAGAGTCTTTCGAAGAAACCAGAGAGAAAGTCTCTTTATAATCGATGCCTTCTTTCAGTGTAAAGCCCTTTGTGACAAGACGAGCCTTATACCTCTCTACATCACCTTTCGAATCCCTCTTGGTCTTAAATATCAATTTGCAACCAATGGGTTTCGCACCTTCAGGCAATGGAACGAGGTCCCATACATCATTGTCCTTCATAGACTTTATCTCTTCAGTCATAGCATTGAGCCACTTTTGAGAGTTAGAACTTTCCATGGCTTGATGGAAGTTGATCGGATCATCTTCCACCATTCCAATGTCAACTTCATGTTCTTGAAGAAATACGATGTAATCATTCGAAACCGCACTTTTCCTCTCTCTAGTGGATCTTCTTACTGGCATTGGTTCTTGAGGGTGTAGAGTTTGTTCTTCTGGAACAATTTGTTGATCTTGAGAGGGAGGTATGACATTGTCTTGATCCAGAGTTGCTTCTTGAACAATATCAGGGATAGAAACCTGATCATTGTCAATGGCGATTGGAGGAATTTCAACATATTCCTCCTCAAAGACAAAGCCTATAACCCTTTCTCCCCCCGCAAACTCAACATCCTCAAAGAACCTAACATTTCCTATCTCGAAAATTGCCTTAGTTGTGGGATCATAAAACTTGTAAGCCCTGGACCTTTCAGAATATCCAATGAAATAGCAACTGATGGTCCTTGCGTTCAGTTTCTTTTCATTTGGCTTATAGGGCCTTGCCTCAATTGGACACCCCCAAATATGTATATGCTTCAAACTAGGCTTCTTGCCCGTCCAAAGCTCATATGGGGTTTTATCAGTGGCCTTAGTTGGAACTCTGTTGAGTATATAAGTTGCAGTCTTTAATGCTTCACCCCAAAGAGATTCTGGTAAGGTAGAATGACTAATCATACTCCTCACCATGTCCTTAAGCGTTCTGTTTCGTCTTTCAGCAACACCATTCATAGTGGGCGTACCCGGCATAGTGTACTGTGGGACGATACCGCATTCCTCTAGGAATTTAGCAAACGGTCCTGGACGCTGTTCACTTGAACCGTCATATCTGCCATAGTATTCACCCCCACGGTCAGATCTAACGCTTTTAATCCTTTTGCCGAGTTGGTTCTCAACTTCAACTTTATAGTTTTTGAACAC